TAAGCATTTCTTAAATCCATTGAGGATTGATATAAGTTCATCCGTTATAGTCCAAGTCCTTCGTGACTGCCCATTACTATTACTACGGCGTGATTCGAAGCAGCATCGCTCAATATACACTCCTCCTAGCAGTCAGTATTCGGAGAGTTCGACGGATGTGTATATCTCTCTCTGAGGTTTTGTAGCCCCCTATTTGCTTATGAATCATCTTTCATTTATGTGTTGAACGCTTGCACGAAACCAGTTCACGTTACGATATCCTGAACGGTAAAAATTGCAGCTATGCAGTTCGAGGTGTGGAAGAGGACTTAAAGCGGTTACAATTAGCAAGAGTAAAACGAAACAGCAGGCAGTGTTGATTGACTAACTCGTGTATTTGCAATGCAGATCGAAGCTGGAGATGGACGAATCAAACGAACTGCTAGCTCAAACATTTCCAAGTCAAAATATATATGTGCTATCCATAGTTATTCCGGACGTGGGGGATTTACGCTCACCCTGATGGTATTGGAAGCCCTAACCGGGTTAAGGTACACTCAGACGGTATGTGGCCGTGGTCACTCAACGAACTCTTCACAGAGTGATCCATTTTGAATTCAGTTATTCCGGAATACGATGGGTCGAAATATCTTTTGTGAATTTAAAAGCATTTGAGGTTTGCTGTAAAATACGACAAGAAAAACCGAGGGGATCGTATTAAGTGGAGAAAGTGTGATGCACTTTTGAACATCGTATTGAAATCATCAAAGTGGTTTAAGAACCTCATTTTTCAACGCGTCCGGTCACGTACATGCCAATTAAATAAATATGACATGAACATTCGGATGGTAAAAAGACAACAACACAAAATGGGTGTACACGTGCTGTAATACTAGAGAGCGGGAGATAAACGATTGTTTCTGATGAAATACTACGCGCTGCGGTATTATTTTCCCTCCAAAGGGTACAGCATGACGGCGGATAGTTCTTTCACAAGCCCGGCATTAGCGAGGAAAATAAACAAATGAGGAATGGCCACCGCGGGAACCGTACAAGCCCACCGAACAGCATTACACAGAAATAGCTGTTTTCTGCTGGGGTAAAGCACTCATAATAGTTATATTGCTTTCTATTCTTCATTGGAATTTCATGGTTGGGGAGGCAGTCAAGAAAACACCCGCAGTTATTGCTTCATTCGGTATCTGAAAAGTACGTAAACTTACTTGGCTCAGTTTACGGCACGGAATATCATTGCTGAGAATGCCAGTCGTTATTCCCAAATGAGTTAAGGGACTGCTTGGCCGTCCTTGTTCGGGGAAAGGTTTGAACATCCAGCTTTTCCTGAAGAATCTACAGCCTTGTCTTTGGCCCTAGTGAATTATTAGCTAACTAATCCGACAAGCATTAACGGATGACAATAACAAGATCGTGCCTATTTACTACCGTTCTTCGCAAAAAGTGCACATCGAGATGCTACTTTTCTCCATTGTTTTTTTTCGTCAAAGCGATACCTGAATTGCTCGTATTCTGCGGGTAGGATCACCACATTAGCGCTACTCAAATCCGGTACTCTTACGTGATTCCACTCGTAAACAAATGCATGAAATCTAATACGAACGGCAATTCAATGATGTACGACAGTGGACCAGTGATAATTTATCAACGGAACACTGGTACTTCAGTCACCGAAATAGTACCGTTACTTGATTGATAGAATTCCTATTGTCGTAACGCCCACGAACATACCGGTTAATTTACTTATAGAACTGTGACGAGCAAAAAAGCAACACTTCTCTATTGCATTACTTTCAGCGATTGGCAACTTGCATTCCTTCCATCCCATTCGCATATTCCGCCTGGTAACTGTAATTTAACTAGATAGTATTTTACCATGACTTCTATTTGTCTGTTATTCTATTTGATGTCCTAAACCAACTCTGAACTTTGGGCAAATCCGGTTTTCCGATCGGGTTCGAAAAGGTTTTTAGGTCAACCATACTTAGAGATAAATGGATTCTACTTCTAATCTGCTTGAGTATGCTGCAGCATATGGGGCGCGATACTTCGATGAATTCCCGGACTGTGTAGTTTCCAGTTTGAATCTGTGGTTACCACCCGTGTGAATATAAATTAGGAACTTCTGGTCATGTCATCATCCAGTCATGTCTTCACTTCGCGACCAGTTTTTCCGACAGTTTATTTCTTACAGTCTTGATACCGTATACCCAGGGACTTAATCTGGACAACCGGAAACAGAACCAGCTGCCCAATTCTGCTTCACCTGTCATATATCGATTCGCATGCAGTTGCGTTGACAATTGCACAGGTGAAACGAATCGGCCCCTGTCACAACGGATGTCCGAACACATTCTCAAATGGTTATTACAGTTATGACTCAGCACAAGCTCAAAGGTCAATCTGATAAGAGAAATCCAGGGTCATCAATCGCAAAAGATCTCAAGAAAACTGGACACATTAGTGACCCACTTCTGTCGTTCAAGGCGCTGTCAGCTAACTCAAATCCCAGGATGTAAGCCATCAGTGAAGCGACGCTGATCCGGTTAAATTATCCCATTTTCTGTGCACAGAGGTTTCTGACGTAAGTAGTCAAATTACCCCTGAGCTGATTGTGGAACTGATGCCCCCATCCCATTGACTGTTATCTGTTGAACCAAAGTAGTTATCAAACTTCCTTGTCTAAAAAACCAGATTGTTTGTACGTTGATCGGATTAAAACAAATGTTAAATCTCGTCCTATTTTTTCTTTTTTCTGGTAACATCAATTGACTAACATTAGTTTTTATTTCACGTTTGAGGGATCTTACCTGAAGTCGCATTGATGGTTTTTCCTAGCACGACTATGAAACTTCATCAA